CCATAAATAGCTGGAAAATGTGTGAACATAAGAGAAGTTCCAATAACTTTTTTGAAATTTGGGGACGGTTAAAGATTTTACAGGAAGTTCTATGAGGTTCAAGGAAGTGTCGAAATCTTCAGGAAAATTGTGAGAGCTTCAAGATAGATCAATAAAATGCATGGCGTGGTATGGGAAATTGTGGGAACTTTTAAAAAGTTCTGAAATTCAGGGATGTTAAGCGAATATTATTGAAGTACGGAGATCTTTAGGGCAGTTTAAATTACTTGAGGGAAGCACCGACAACTTAAGGAAAGTCTAAACATTTGGGGATGGTTAAAGATCTTGAAGAATTAGTCATTTTGTTTCGGCTTTCAGTCTTTAAGAAAAAGTGTAGCAGTTTTACCAACGTCAACGCTTCGATCCAGGGGTTGCGATCTTCAACAGGGTTAGTTTTAGTTTAAGATCGTAAAGATGTTTGCATTGATCGAAAAACTGTGGCCCTTATTACGAGTGTCAATTTTACGATGAAAACCGAGAGAAGTGACCACTCACGGTGAAGTGTTTGCCGTGTAAATCAAATGGGAATCACTTCACTGTGAGTGATAAGTTGTCACTTCACCGTGAAGTGACATTGGTAATAAGGGCCGGTACAATTTTAAATCGCCTGAAGTAGGCCAAGTCTAAACTCCGAAACGTCTTTCATAAAACACCGTAGTGTTTTGATCCACCGTTAATCTCCAATATCCGAACAATTTAGAATTTTCGGATTTTATGGTGATTAAAGGGTGTCCACGATGAAATTGCCACATACAAAATTGATTCGCAAAATTCGAGTTTTCATCCGATTGCCATCAAATTTTCAGGGATTGAGAAATAACTATTAAACTTCATTTTACCATTTTACTCGTATTTTATTTACAGTCCATACGCAAATGCCCGCACCTTGGCCTTAACCCCGGCCATAAGATTCTGCACAACCTGTGAATCAACCGTTTTTTGCATGTAAACCCATACTTTCTTCAGTTCCTCGACTGTCTTCACTACCTTAGGTCGTTTAAGAAGGTGCTGCTTCATAATCGCCCAGTACTTCTCGATGGGGCGGAGCTCCGGAGTGTTGGGAGGGTTGAACATTTTCGGCACGAAATTGACTTTATTGTCCGCATACCACTTCAGCACGTCCTTGGAGTAGTGGCATGAGGCCAAATCCGGCCAGAAGATTGTTGGGACGTTGTGGGTCTTCAGGAGAGGAAGCAGCCGCTTCTGGAGGCACTCTTTTATGTACACCTGTCCGTTCATCGTGTCCTGGGTCACGAAAGGTGCACTCCGCTTCCCGCACGTGCAGATGGCTTGCCAAACCAGGAATTTCTTCGCAAATTTGGACATCTTCTGAGTGCGGACATGCTCCGGAACGCTGAACTTATCCTTGGCCGTGAAAAACAGGTTGCCGGGGATCTGTTTGAAGTCGGCCTTCACATATGTTTCGTAGTCCATGATGCAGCATTCAACTTTCGTCAGCATGTTGAGGTACAACTTCCTGGCACGGGTTTTGGCGGACTTGTTCTGCTTCTCGTCGCGATTAGGGGCCTTTTGTACCTTGAACGTTCGAAGCACAGCCTTAGTTTTGTCCTTCTGGACAAAACTTCGGCTTAGGTGCAGCTTCTTAGCCACATCCCTAACGGAGGCGTTCGGATTTCGGTTGAAGGCCCCAACTACGCGGTTGTGATTTTTGGTGTTGTACGGAATACTTTTTCCTTCACTTCTGGGCTTCCGATCGGTGGTCAACCGTTCCTCGAACCGCTTAATCACTCGCAACACCGTGGAATTCGCGATTCCCAACGTTTTAGCGATGGAACGATGCGAGAGATCCTTGTTCTCGTGATGAATGCGCAAGATTTTATCACGCACGAGCTGTTCTTTCGACTCCATTTCCGCGAGTTTTGATCACAGGACTTTAAAACTTGCAGGATGTAAATAATGCACTATAAACTAAATCCACCCAAATTTTCATTAAATTCTACCTAACGGTTAAAAAGTTAGAGCAATTTCATAGTGTGGCAATTTCATCGTGGACACCCTCTATGATAGCTGATATCAGACAAGTTTACCCGTACTCTAACTTTAATAAGAGGGATCTAAATTGTGTGTACATTCCGAAATTGCAATCATGGATGCTCCTCCAAAAAATCAGTGACTAACCAGCTCAAAGTTTACCATTGCTCATCCGGCATTACGACTGATTTGGCCTAATAACGTTCGCTTTAGTGGCATTCGGCTTACTGATGTATCACTCGATAGTCTTCAATCTGTAGAATGCCAATGATGGAGCGTTTTCTTCATAAAATGAACTGAAACCTCGCGTAATATTTGAAAAGGGCCTATGTTCAAATGTAAACAAACTAAGCCTTTTCGTAACGGTCCGGCATCAAGCAGTAATGTGAAACTAATGTTCTGCCCGACAACAACTCAGCACCACGAGACTCCTTGAACTCTGTCTCAGAGTCGGCGCACTACTGGGCAAACTGGAGGGGCTACGCGGATTAAAAGGCACTCAAGCTTTCAGTTAAACTGAAACACAACGCGGATCAATTTAAACACTGTATTTCTCCAATTACCGATAGTGTGGATTGTGTGGTGTTGTGTTCGATTTCCTTAGCACATACCCTTGATGACGATGGAGACTACGACGACTGCAGACCAGCAAGCACTCGCTGTGGTTCCGGAAAGATCCTTAAAGGCCGATCTTGTCGGCAAGATGGCGGTACCACCGCTCGGTGAAATTGCGGTACAATTCCGACAATGGCGGACGAAGCGAGGCTGACCGAACGTCGGCCGTAGTGCGATGGCGGGTTGGTTTTACCGGGCTGGTATAGCGGTTTGTGGAGATGGTTCCGATGCACAGGCGCTTCCTTCTGACGAAGCCGGTCGACGATGGCAAGGCCGCCCTCTGTCGAACCGGGAAGGGAAATTCTCCTTGGCGCTTAGGGCCTTCAGCCTGAGAACGATGTCCTTTACGGTTAGGTCAAGGTAACTAAATGTCACCTAGACCTTAGCGTGCAATGGCGGTCTTTGACTCGCCAACCAGAAAACCATTTGATTGATTGAAAAGAAAGATCCTGAATCAGCTGAATTGGTGATTTCCACTTCACCTTGATTCACTACTCGCACTGTATTCTGTTAAAATGTATCCCACAGACACTTCTGGTCTACACGCTCGCCTGAGATAAAGTGAACGATGGCCGTTCTCTAAGCATCGCAGAACCCTTCAGCTCATCACCCGTGACTCCGTGTCACCATTATGCCGCGGCCATGCGTGCCTTATTCAGCAGTCGGCCGTTAAGCATGGCCGTATCGTCTGCCCAGTGGGTTTCACCGCAAGTGTTACACAAATTTATTTGAATGCTCGATCACATGGTGCATATTTAAAATATTGTATTGAACCTTTGTAACAGAACGGTTACAAATGGCTAGCTTTGATTTGAAAATTTTCAATCATCGGCCCTTCTACGTCACTAGGCTTATCAATAGAACCTAATGGAAGAAAAAATCATTCGAACAATTGAGTTGATTGGCCGTTTTGAAAATCTAGTTATTTTTAATGATTTTTATCGATAATTCGGCACATTCTTATACGACTGGTAGCTATATGAATGGTATCAAAAATCGAACGAATTTGTTACGCGAGAAATGCACTATTTATTATGAACATGAAATAGTTCATAATAAATAGTGCACGTAGTGAAAATGTGATCTTTATCTTAAATTGGAGCAGGGAGCAGGATTGATCTTTGATTGTTCACTATATTTTGGTATATGTATTTGGATCTGTGTTTCGAAACGTTAAATATAATTTCAAAACTGAATGAATGGGCCCATTTTTTCCGCACTTTCGATCACCCTTTCTTTTGTGAAAACACTGAACATGATCTAATTTTCCATCCCCAGCCATCCATTCCAGACAAATTCCGTAACATTTCTTCAATCTAATTGCACTACACACTCGACTGGTGTTTGAGCGAAACCCAACGGAAACAGCAGGACACTTGCTTGCTCCACAACTGACCGATGTGGTGGCAGCAGATGAAAAAGTGACAATCCCACGTGCGGCTGCGGTCACGTGTGAGTTGCTCTCTGTGTAGTCCTCAATTGCTAACGACTATGTTTATTTTCCTCCTACGGCTTCATACACGTCCAATGAGATCAACCCAAATTTGAGTTCAGTTTACTCATAATCGCAAAAAGTGCAGGAACTCAGCGTTTGGTAAACTTGCCTCAAGTTTTCCTATGGAAAAACTCAAAAATCTGCCGGAAAATGAGGAACGAAAAATTTACTCAGGCTAGGAGAATCCAATTTTTGCTTTACTCATATTCGGGATTTTTTTTCCTGGAAAACATGAGACAAATTTATTTATCGCTGACTTCCTGCACTTTTTGCGATTTATAGGTAAACTAATCTCAAATTTGGGTTGATCTCATTGGCCGTGTTGGACTCAGCTAGCTTTCTTCCTTCGGCCTGTCTGTCAAATGATGGCCGTACTATGACGAGAATGGCGCAGACGGAACGAGTGCAGGTACACTTTTGGAGCCGTAGTTTCCCAAAACAAGCTCGTTCGTTGCGGATTCTACCGAGGAAAACGAGAGCAATTCAATTTGGGAAATGTTTTCTTTGTCACATAAACGGACTGACGGCTGCTTCGAGTCCGATTCGAAAGGGAAATGATCAATTTTGGGAATTGCTTCCTAATGAAAGTACAAAAAGTGATGAGTTTTGAGTTGATAGGTTTTTTTCTGGTTGGGTTCCAACTTCTTCGATTGGGTTTAGAAGGGAGTGATATGCATTTGAGGTGGACGTTTGAAAAATTGAATTCCAGTAGATTGGAAATCCGACAGAGTAACTAATTCCTTTTGGTTTCTACTGTACGTTCTAATTAATAACCAATCGTTTTTCTCCATTGCCTCAGCACCTGGACCTGGGCCAGAGGCATCAGGCCAGCCAGCAGCATTTTGTGTGAAATACTTACCGACTAGAGTAAAGCACCCGACCGTCCTGGTTAATGCGCACAAACTTGTTCGGTGTGGTTATGGTATGCAGGTAGCTTTGTTTGCCGTTGTAGAAGTACGTGTCCGGTTTCCAGATCCGCCCAAGCATGGAAATGCTCAGAGCTAGGGTTTCATACTCCCCGGTGAATGCAAGCCGTCGGTCGACCCACGACTGACGGAAGTAGCAGTCCATGGAGTAGGTCTGAAATGAAAGTTAAATGGCAGGATTAGTCTAGTCCATTTTATTTACTATGGTCAGGACTTGAGTATTTTAGATTGAAATTTCAAATACTGTAGGAAGCTTAGTTTGCAAATATATTCTGTTTGTTAGATAAAGCATTAATTGCATGCATTGGAGATGTTGATTCACGATCGACCAAATGTCCGAAATTATAATCATCCATACTCTCGTTTACGTTCGTACCGTATTTTCCATACAAAAAAACTACCGTTCGAAGGAAAACGAGAATACAATTGAAGAAGTATTTTGTATAAAAAAATATATTGGTTTAATGTCCCTAATGTTGGCCTAAGTTATTTTTTTTTTTTTTTCCTTTGGTTTGTTTTTTTCCGTCGATCTTGTTTTCCGTGCTGAGCACCAATGCTACCGACGTGCCAGGAAGGCAGCTCCCACACCTGAACCCTACCTATCGACCCATCAACTCATGAACCGGGGACCAACGGCTTTACTTCCCATCCGAAGGAAGGCGTGATCAGAGATGTTATGCCTCAGAACATCCCGGCGGCGCCGACTGGGATTGAACCCAGGCCTGCTGGGGTGAGAGGTAATCACGCTTACCACTACACCACCGGCGCCGTTCTAAGTTATTTTATTGTTATTGTTATTGTGCCTGGTCGCCAGTGTTATTTTGGTGATCAATTATACACCTTCCATGCAGCAATCAGATAGATAAAAATGAGATGGCTCTTAGATAATGCCTCATCAGAGTCGATTGAAAGTAGCCGAATATTAAATGAGGGTTAAGTTGATCCTTAACATAGAAGCGTAGATGCATAGGTGAAGGATAAGAGAAAGGAGAATTGGTAGAGAATGAGTGCTCATGCATATGCATTTGTGTTTCATTTAGTTATAGGGTAGAGCGCTACTTCGTCGTAATCGTCCATTTCCGTTCCATCGAGCAGAAAACATCAGTATACTCAATGATTTCACCGTGCACAAATCAGTAATACGTTTGTACCGATGCGTTAGGTCACAAGCTACAACACAAAGCCTATTTGAGCGTATATTACACTCATTGGTCTCAAAACAAAAGAAGCGCTCCTAGCAAACACGCTTTTTCTACCTTCATCCGTAAGACGAAGAAAATCCAATGGCGTTTCAATGCGTTTGGACGGAATGGAAACTCGTAGGACGAATTTGAAATCAAGAAGCAGTGTTAGATTCTGAACAATATCTTAATAATGTGTGGCGCTTTATCAAATTCGACGGTACCTAATGAAAGGGGAATAAATTTAGAAGTCATCTTTGATAGAAACATATCATTTGTTGTTAAAACCCGTACAAGAAAGAGGGGTTGTCCTTAGTAGGATGGAAATTAGATCAAAAACCCTATGGTTATCAATAATATTCTGTTCAGTGAGTTCTTCCGTGTCTGCGAATTCGATTCCTTGTTGCTTTCCGTCTAAACAGCTACCCGCTATCCACTCCTTGATTTTTTTAGAAGCCAAGATGGCGGCTATCTGTTTTAGAAATACTGCCGTGCCAAATACCTTATAATATGGGTATTTCCGAACGGGAACGACGTGTAGATGTCAAAATTCGATGTCCGCCGCCATTTTGAAATCCAAGATGGCGGCCGTCGGTTTTATAAAAACTGTCAAATATCCAACAATATGCACACTAAGATTATTTTACCGAAATCTGTGAAATTTTACCGAAATCTCAACAGCTGAACGTTCGTTAAACAGCTCGGTGATTTTTCACAGATTTTCTGTGATTTTTTACAGATATTCGTTGAAAAATTACAGGAAATCTATTGAAAAATCACCGAACTGTTTACCGAACTTTCAGCTGTTAAGATTTCGGTAAAATTTCAAAGAGTTCGGTAAAATAATCTTAGTGTGTGAGCATTTCCGGAACGAGGATGACTGTAGATGGCAAAATTCGATGTCTGCAGCCATTTTTAAATCCTTCGGTTTTTTGACAAAACTTTCAAATACGCCACAATATGGGTATTTCGAAAACGGGGACGACTTGTAAAGGTTGAAAATCGATGTTGGACATTCAGTTTTAGAAATTCTGTCAAATTCCCTACAATATGGGTTCAGCATCCACTTTTTCCATATACTATCTTGCTCAAAATCTACGATCCCCATAACTGAATTCACCAATACCGCCTAGAATATGAAACGCCCCTTTATTGGTTGGCTTGCCATCCCTCATTAAGAAGCCTGCACACGTATATGGAAGCCACGCACAATTTTGTGTGAATTTATGTAAACTGTATGCACTCATCCAATGCTTTGTAGCTACCCATAATTAAGAGTGGATCCATGAAAACTAGGGTGGGTCATGTTTGCATAGTGGATCACAACTCCCAACTTTCCACTGGTCTTTAGATGTGTATTGAGGTCTCCAAAAACTGCAAAATTTCAACGAATTTGGTTATGATCTGGATTTGCGGGAGAATTTAAAATTCAGTATGGGAAATTGTATGGGAAAAATTGCTTGTCAAAAATTCTAAAATGGCTCGAATTTTGACCTTTACACGTCGTCCTCGTTTCGACAGGTATTTATATTGTTGGGTAAATGACAGTTTTCTAAAACCGATGGTTGTCATATTGGATTTAAAAATAGCGTCCAACATTGATTTTCAACCTCTACACGTAGTCTCCGTTCCAGAAATTCACATATTGGAGGTATTTGACATTTTTTTAGTATTGTAGGGTATTTGACAGTATTTCTAAAACAGATGGCCGCCATATTGGATTCCAAAATGACGTCTTGCATCGATATCCAGCTTCTAAACGGCTCTCTGCGCCGGAAATATTCACATTGCACAGAAACATCCTATATGGGCAGGCTTTCGAAACATAGCATATTAAGGAAGTTCGCATGCACACTAGCGCCACGTAGTGATAGAGTTCTGACCTAATATTAACACCACCCGCATGATCGTGCTGATCTGAACAATTTTGCTGAAGACAGTAACCTTCTATATGACCAGGGTCCCGAGAATCAGCTTAGACAGGAAGTTTATGTGCACAATAGCGTCGCGTAGTGTGAGAGTTCTAAACTAATATGGCCACCATCCGAAGGGACTTGGTCACTTGCACAATTTTGCTGAAGACATCAACTTTCTACATGGCCAGGATCAAGAGATATTCTATACACTTAGTTTTTTTTCTACCAAGCTCGGCTGTGCAAATCTCGGCAAAGAAAGTTTTACTGAGATCTCAGCAAACATTTCATTTGTTTGCTGAGATTCAGCTTAGCATTATCCGAGACTCAGCAATCAAAATGTCACTTTTGCAGAGATCTCAGTGAAACTTATTTTTGCCGAGATTTGCACAGCCAAGTCGGTTGAAAAAGCTATGTGTGTATGTTGAACCCAAATTCCATATAATAGGCGCACGTCATAAGTAATATGAAAGTGAAGCACCTCTAGCGACGTTGTTCCCAATTGAACCTGAATCGGATGACACAAGCTTGTTGGTCTAAACAGTATAGTTTTATATTTTGAAACAAATGAGATAATCTACCACAGCCCTAATTAGTGAAAATCCCATAAGATGTGGGTATCCTTAATCGCGGTTCGTTATTCACGCCCCCGTTACCCCGGCAATAAGGATTCCTGACTGTATTTACAAAGCTATTTTGCGGCTATATGGTTACTTGAGTACTCATAGGTCATCAGAATGGTTCATCGGTTGGGAAGTGATGCGTTATATTTGAGGGGGTTAGAAGAAAAGGGGTGTAAGTGGCTTTGATCGATTCTCTTCATCGACTTTCTCTTTTGATAGCCACAGCTTTATAAACAGATTTTGCGCTATTTCTGCCACATAGTTTGATAAAGGAGGTTCTTATCTAGCATCCAGAATGTGTTTGCAGTTGAATTATTAACGAAAGAGAAAGTCGATGAATAGAATCGATCAAAGTCATTTACACCCCTTTCCTTCTATCCCCCTCATTTCTCAATGTTTTGACTTTATCCTATCGTTAACTTCACTACCCAACCAGCATTGTAAGCTTTATGAAGGTTTCAGAACATTTTACAATTTTAAATAATCCTCACAAAATTAGAATTGCTACTTGGGTATTGCAACTGAGTGTACCCCATTAGGCATAAATACGTTAGGCATATGAACGTTAGGCATACGGACGTTAGGCATAATGGACGTTAGGCATAAAGTCTTTAGGCATAATATATGTTAGGCATAATGGACGTTAGGCATATAATACCTTGCTGCTGTTCAACTCTAAAAACCTGTTTCGAGCATGGTAAACAATGCTTAAATTAGGCTAAGCGTTGAATAAAAGATGATACAAGTTATACAAACATAGTTTATTTAATAACCACAGTTTGGAATCCATTATTTATCATATCGTAAGTGACGTACCTAGATATTTACTAAGATCCAAGACTAGTAGCGATAGTGGTTAATCTGGCAATAAAAACTCAGCATAGTTTTGAACTATATCTTGAATTCAATCGCATCTAGAAATAAAAAAATCACTCATTTGTTGTAAAATATTCTTAAAGACATATTGCAATTGTCAAAGAAGAAAAGGTTTTCCTCAAAGAACAGCTCATGAAATAAAGAATGGTGAATTCTGTGATTTTTCATTCAATAACAATACAACAGCTGAGATTGAATAAAAGATGATGCCAAAGAACAGCTCATGAAATGAAGAATGGTGAATTATGTGGGTTTTCATTCAATAACAAAAAAAAAAAACATACCTGCTGCTTCCAGGATTCACTCCCATACTTTTCGATACGATGATTCTGTTTTGAATGAAAATTAGCGGAACCGTCTGCTAATGTGAGGGAGCGATACTTCCATGAACAGTGACGAATGGCCAAAACAAACAAGGAACAGTGGCAAACGTACCATCTGCAACCCATTACTTTGCCTGTCCAAGACGTCACAAGTTTTAAGGCTCTTTCATTATTGTCACCGATGTCAGCAATCAATAGACGGTCCCCATTATCGTCCGTCTGGAATTCATCGGGTAGA